AGACAGAGTCTTACTCTGTTGCCGGGCTGGAGCGCTGTGGTGTGATCTTGGCTCATTGCATACTCCACCTCCCCGGTTCAAGGGATTCTCCTGACTCAGCCTCCCACGTAGCTGGGACTAGAGGCACGTGCCATCATGCCCAGCTAATTTTTGTATTTTTAGTAGAGACAGGGTTTCACCATGTTGGCCAGGCTGGTCTCGATCTTCTGTCCTCATGATCTGCCCACCTTGGCCTCCCAAAGTGCTGGGATAACAGGTGTGAACCACTGTGCCCAGCCCCCTATGTTGTTTCTTAGAGGAGGGGTGGGGGAGGTGGGAGAAGAAACAGGAGTACAGATGAAACATGTTTAGCCATAAATTGATATGTGTTGAAGCTGAGTGATGGGTAGAGTATACAGGATACATTACACTACACTTACTTCTGTATATTAAAACATTTTTTCCATAATAAGAAGTTAAAGAAAAGAGACTTGAAGAATGGACTCCACATATGGACGACTCATTCCAGAGGATGGTTTTTCAGTAATTGTTATTTTATCCTTTGTGTCTTTATTTTTGTATTTTCTAAATCATGCCAACAAACAAGTACTACTTTGATATCAGAAAACAAAGATATCAGCTTCCTGGAACTCTAAACAGGAAATGCAAGTTTTATAAAAAAAGGATTCTCACTAAATTTGGAGAAAAAAGAATATTTAACAGCATATACTCTAAGACGATTTTTTAAAAGGAAATAGAAGATGAGAAAGAAGAAAAATGAAGAAGTGTATGAACTTTATTATGACACAGATTTGCAATTCATGCAGAACTTATGCAAAGCATTAAAATAAACTAAAAGTAGGCCACTTCTACAAACTTGCCCCAAAGATAAACTTCCCCAGAAAAAAACAACATATGTAGTTATTGATGGTTGCATTATGCAACAGTAAAATACCAGAAAGAAACAAATGGCCATCCATTGGAGACTGGTTAAATAACTATTACAGCCACACAATAGAATATGTGGTATAAAAATAAATGAGGAAGATCTTTATAGGCTCCTATAGAGTTATCTCCAGGATACTGTAGACGTGTGAAAAGAAAAAAGAAGGTGCAGAACAGTGTACGTAGAGTACTCCTTTTAATTAAAAATAGAATAAAAATTGCATACACACACACACATATAAACACATATACATAAACATATATATCATTTAAAAGAAATATAAAAGTAAAACCAATGAGAAGTACAGGTACTTATCTACAGAGGGAAGAAAGAAGCTGGTGGAAGGGACAGAAATGGACACGAGACTTCTTCAAATTCATCTTGTTCTGTAGTTTTGATTTTGGATATATGTTATATAATTTAAAAACAAGATTAAATCATAGTGGGAGAAATGCAATCCCCAAACATGAAAAGCAATATAAAACAAATGAGCCTAACTGCATTTCCGGTTGGCAGCTTAACCATATGAGAAGTGCTATTTAGACAACTTTTAAAACACAGTAATTTAATTATACATCCCTAGTGGGATATATCCTGTCAAACTCCAACAGGACTTTATTGTTTTTCTATATTCATATGGTTGGTAATACATTGGTATTGTTATTTTGAAACTCTTCGTCTCAACCCAAAGGAAGGCAGAAAAGTGAGAACAGGAAATAAAGAACAGATGGGACAAACATAAAACAAATGGCAAAATGATGGATTTGAACCAAATCATATCAATAATCACACTAAGTATAAATGGTCTAAAACTCCAATTAAAAGAGGGAGATTGCTGGCTGGGTGTGGTTGTTCACATCTGTAATCACAGAAATTTGAGAGGCTGAGGTGAGCAGATAAGCTGAGGTCAGGAGTTTGAGACCAGCCTGGCCAACACTACAAAACCCCGTCTCTACTAAAAATACAAAAAAATTAACTGGGTGTGCTGGTGTGTGCTTGTAATCTCAGCTACTCAGGAGGCTGAGGCAGGAGAATCACTTGAGCCCAGGGGGCAGAGGCTGCAGTGAGCCGAGATTTTGCCACTGCACTCCAGCCTGGGTGGCAGAGTGAAACTCTGTCTAAAAAAAAGGAGATGCCAAGTTGAATAAAAACACAGACCCAACTATATGCTGTATATAAGACAGGCACTTGAAATATCAAAACACAAACAGGCTAAAAGTAAAAGAATAGAAAAAGATATACAATGCTAACACTAATGAAAAGAAAGCTGGAGGCTGGGCGCGGTGGCTCATGCCTGTAATCCCAGCACTTTGGGAGGCCGAGGCGGGCGGATAATGAGGTCCAGAGATCGAAACCATCCTAGCTAATACGGTGAAACCCATCGCTACTAAAAATACAAAAAATTAGCCGGGTGTGGTGGTGGGCACCTGTAATCCCAGCTACTCACATCCCTGTACTTCAGCCTGGGTGACAGAGCAAGACTCCATCTCAAAAAAAAAAAAGCTGGAGTGACTACATTAAATATCAGGCAAAGTAGATGTTCAGAGCAAAGAATATTATCAGGGATAAGGAAGACCATTTCCTAATGAAAAAAGGGTCAATTCACCAGTAGGATATAAAAATCTAAAACCTTTATATACCTACTAACAGACTATCAAAATACATGAAGCAGGAGAGGTGTGGCGGCTCACACCTGTAATCCCAACACTTTGGGAGGTAGAGATGGGTGGATGACCTGAGGTCAGAAGTTTGAGACTAGCCTGCCAATATGGTGAAACCTCATCTCTACCAAAAAAAAAACAAATACAAAAATACAAAAATTAGCTGGGTGTGGTGGTGTCCACCTGTAATCCCAGCTACTTGGGAGGCTGAAGTAGGAGAATCACTTGAACTTGGGAGGTAGAAGTTGCAGTAAGCCAAGATCATGATACTGCATTGCAGCCTGGGTGACAAAGCAAGACT